GATGGGCTGCCTCCTGGCCGGGGAGGATGGGGCTTGGGGTCCGCCCCTTCGGGCGCAGGGGAGCGTTTGCCAGCGGGTGCTATCTGATTTGAAGGAGCGATGCCGTTTCGGAAAAGGGAGCGGGCTTCCCACGGACCCCGGGACGGCGTCTCTGCTCTCTGAGAAGCAGGCGGGCGCCTTTGGGCACGGCAAACCCCGAGCGCGATTTCTGCATTTGCTCCCGGGCTGGGATCGCCCCGTGCATCGATGCGTGGGCCGGGTCACCCGTTCCTCCTGTCGTCTGACGCAGCCCTTGAATCACGAGCCGAGCGAACCAACCACATTTTAATCTAGTGTGCATCGTGCAAATCCACTAGGAACACAAGGTAGGGGAAAGATTCAACGTGCGCTCGTGGCCTTCCTCCTACCTAGTTAACTGAGAAGCAGAAGTTTGCAAATGCAATTCTTCTGTCCCGCTTGCAAGCAGAACTCTCCTGAACTTGCACGGCGCTATCACAGCTACGCATGCGCACTCCCCTGCCAAGACGGAATGCTGTCGAATTCAAAGGGATAGGCGGAGCTTCTCAGCCGTCCCACTCGCCCGGGGGAGCCTGGTGCGCATGCGCCTTGGAGATCGCCGACGCGGGAAGGGATGGCGCATGCGCAAAGGCCACCCAGAGAGAAGCGAGCCATGTGCGTTTCGGTAACGAGCGAAGAAATGCGTGATTTGCGGGGGAAAGAGAAAAAGCGTCACGCAGAGGTAGATGATATCAGAGTTAGCTGCTGAACTGCTTTGGTAACGACTGCATTGCTGGTACATTACCCAGCAGTGAAATGTTTAGTACAAAACCTTAGTACAATGTTTCTCAAACTCAGCGATAAGATGTCTGGACTTCAATTCCCAGAATTCCCCTAGCCAGCATGCTGGCTGGGGGAATTCTGGGAGTTGAAGTCCACAAATCTTATAATGGCTGAAATTGAGAAACCCTGCCTTAGTAAGTATAAATTGGCAACTTAAATCTGGGCAGTTCAAACTTTGAGCATGCAAATAGCTGTAGCGAGGAGTGATTCAGCAAAGGACAAAAATAACATCCCCATGAGTCAAACTAGACCTGGGATAACTTGATGGATGTGTCCAGAAAGATTTTTTCAACCTCCCGGGCTCTGTGCAATTACTTGGTGGTCTCCTATCCATGTTGAGCTTTATGAGATCAGCCAAAGTCAGCTGGTCCCGTCGTTTAGTTGGGCCAGGAAAAGATATTGGATGTCTTAAAAATGGGCTTAATTGAGTAAAGCATGGCCCAGTGGTTAACCCATCCAGCCTGTCCTACGTGTGCAATCACAAGGGTGCACTAGGCACAGGTTATGAATTTGCACTTGATGTTGTACAGTACAGAAGTCTTTCTTAGTCCTCTGGATTAATTATACTGCATTATTCTCAATCGGTCTGGCCAAAATGAATAGGCGGAGTAGAAATAGCTACCTCTTCCAAGGTGGAAGGAGAGAGAAGAGGACGACCATCAGCGAGGTGGAGGGACTCAGTTAAAGTGGCGATGGGGGCACCAGTGAAGACCTGAAGGACCAGGTTGGGGACAGATCATCTTTGAGAAAAATCTATTTATGTGGTTCCTAACAGTTGACACCGACTTGGTGGCACATAATGAAAAACCAGCACAGAATTCCCACCAGTGTTTTGCAGAAAGATCAGGAGTCTAGCAGCGTCTTTTCCAACTAACAAATTTTATTAAAATGCACAAGCTTCCATGAGCAATTTTTGGCTCCCTTAAACTAACACGGCGCTCCTTCTACAACATCTACAACTTGCCAAAAGATTTAAACTGCTTGAAAATTAATCTGATTTCTTACAATCAGTGTGTAGCCTGGCATGTTTATTCAACAGTAGCTTACATCCAGCTATGTTTGGGTAAGATTTCGAGGGCAGGGAGGAGATTGTGTTGAAACCTTGCATGCCTGGATCAGTTTGTTAGGAAACATGACAAGCTGAATTTTGGATTGCGGTTCTTCTAATGTCTTGGTTTCCTTGTTGAAAGTAAGGCAAATTCCTCCTTCTGATCTGTTATCCTTCATTTCCATCATTCTTTTTATATATGACTTTTAGCAAGCAATGTATTCCATCTCTTCCTCCATGTATTATTTTAGTGGCTTCCATGCCAGATATATCCAGGAAGTGATTTGTTTATAATGGAATACAGTATCCAGAGGCAAACCATTCAAATTTTTATACAGGGTAATGAGTTTTTAAGTACGTAACTGTATACGCTTCATATTAACTGACATAACCTGTTTTTGCAAACTGTATTTGCTCTGCTTTCCATTTCAGGCCATCAGAATTCAAATAAGATTTTGCTCGACATTTTTCTAACAATCTTTCCAGATGTCAGTACACATGACTTGTATGGAGTATGTCTGGAGGATGCGAGAAACTTGAGCTGTGCTATGGCACGCTACAAAGAATTTTCTTAGCTTGTGGCTTATTCAACGAAACCAAGATCAAAATAAGCCGTGATATAGCATGAGGCCTCAATCTAGACATTGATGGAGATCATGCAGTGTTACACTGTGGGTGAAGGATGTTCTCAAATGAGAGGGACACATATATTAGATAAATCAGCATGAAACAGACTACTTGATGGGTTAGCGCCAAGTGGGTATAATATCTGCCCAGCCAGTTGATCTGGCAGGGTTGGCATGCTCCAGGTTCCATCGACTAAACCAGTGTTTCTCAATCTCAGCAACTTTTAAGATGCGTGGACTTCAACTCCCAGAATCCCCCAGCCCATCTATGGTCTTAAAATTGAAGCCCATGAAGTCCACATCTAAGTTGCCAAGTTTGAGAAACCCTGCCTTACAGGGCCTCAACTACCTCCCTGCCCAAGGCCACGTTCCATCAGGGTGGGAGCCAAACAGATCTCTGGAGGGATCTTTCAGTTTTCCTTTCTTTTCTGGGCTTCAGCTTTCTCCTGCCTTAGGTGACAACTGCAGCTCCGAGCACTTTCTTGCCTGTGGAGTCCTTGATGCTCTCTGAGCTGGGTGGTTTGCTTGCAGACGTTTCATGACCCAACTAGGTAACATCATCAGGGCTAGCGAGTGTGGGGTTTGCTACCTATTTATATACAGTAGCTTGCCCTGCCAGTGTTGGTGGGGTGAGGTTTTCTCCCTGGTAGTTCCTTGATTAGGGTATTGTTTTCTGCTTGATCGTTTGCCTGGAGTTAATCCCTGCTTATCTGG